TAAATATCTTAAACACTTTTTTTTATAAATATACAATATAAGAATTTCAAATTTATAGTTACAACTTCAATAGCAATAATGTGACCCAGGAAGTGCAATGTGGTTTTTACACATTGATCCTTTTGGTATTAGAAATGATTGAACAAGTGATTATGTAGTATTTGAAATGTTTGATTTTTGTGTGACATCTGTCAACTTTTGAACACGTTGTATTAAACCAGGTATAAACTATATCTATAGTTGCATATATGTCATACAGAAACTTAAGGCATGCAATGGAAATTTGTTCTTTTTTTGTATTTTAACTCTAAACCTTAAGTCTGTTGTACACAAATTAAGTTTAAAGAAGAGATAAGGATTTATAGAAAATGTTTCAGATGGATTTATTGACATGCGTAAAAGCTTTATTGTCAAAACTGTTTATCTCTTTTACTTTCAGGCTTATTTTTAGATACACAATAAAAAACAAAAGATGTGGTTTAATATTTCATTACTTATTTGAAACTTGAAACAGGTAAACTTTAGGAAGTTTGAAATGAAATACCTTTTCTTCATGGTGGTATAAAATTCCAAACTGTTATATCATTTCTCTAGAAGGGATATGTGTATATACATGTACCTATGGTAGTGAAAAAATCAAGGGAATATCGAGGCATAGAAGGACCTTTTAATTCACGTTTGTTAAACTCTGTGGATTTAAGAAACAAGTCTTCAGAGTAATAGAAAATTAAATACATTTTATGATCCCAGATTATGTTTGTTGCTATCTTGAAAGTCTCAGAAGAGATTGAGAAATCTTGTTTTACAATTGTGTTTCAGTTTTACTTATGCTTTTGTAAATGTTATGAAACCCTTCAGCAAACACTAACTTTTAGGCATGATTATACTTTAGTTTTTAGTATTGGAGATTTTTATATGGATGTAATTTAATTACTTCAGTTGAAGTGGTGCTCAGATTAGTAGATGGAATTATGAGCCTAGTCCAGATACTGTTACAATTGAGTGTAGATGAATCTGTGATTATATTGTTTGAACTTCAAATTTGTGAATCTTGTTTTGTTTCTTAAACTAAAAGGTGATGCCATCGCTGGCCAAAGTACTTCTTCACACACACAACTGGACAGAACAAGACGTAATTCCTGCTTACCGGCAAGATGCTAATAAACTGCTCTCTGATTCTAGAATAAAACCACTCAGACCTCCTGAAGTTGACATGCAGGTACGTTCCATGATATACGTGTTAAAAACATGTTAGTTCCATGATTCACATGTGAAGAACATGTGTGGATTAGTTCTTCCTTGATTTCATCTTGGTCAGCTACTTCATTTACGTGTCAAAAACTTGCAGATAAGTTACTTAATTTACACAATAAAGACAATGTAGATAAGTTCTTATGTTTTAAGAGTCATGTAGTGTAGGCCATTAATTTATGAATTAACAGTGTTTGGTAACATGGAACATTTTTAACATTTCAGTTAGTACAGTTTTACAAATCATGAAGTATATTGATACAAATAACAAGTGTTACATGTATTAATACAAGGACATTTTATCTAAATCAGCAGCAAAAAGGTACAGATTAGACTCTACTATGAGATTTATTTTCATCTCGTGTTTATTTTCATGCTATAAAACATATGAAAATCTATATGGAATATGGCAACAAACTGTATGTACATCTTGAATCTTTTTATGCAAATACAATTGGAGATAACAAAATACTAAACTACTGAAAAATGTTTCCATAGTGGCCATGCTTGACTACTAAGATACTTTTGTATGGTGTGATTAAGAAACCTAAATGTAGACATAGGTATGTTTACAGGCTACAAAGTGAAAACAATGAACTATGTCCTGGTAGATTTTTCTATAGAACAGGACCCATACAAGAAAATGTCAGCCAAAATGTTAACTTTGTAGTAAACTGAGGTGATCAAATCAATATAATTTATTACGTATGGGTTTTAAAATCATAATTAAATCAATTAACGTCATGAAACTAATCAAATAATCAAAATTAATGTTTCTGATTGTTATTATTTTCAGTTATTATACTTATCCATTTAACTGTTGCATTGCCATTATGTTTGTTTGTTGTTATACACAAAGCTTCAAGTTGACAAGTTTAAACAATGTGACTTCCAACCTAACAAAACACCAGCTAAAGATACCTGTTAATATTCTAAACCTACTTTTGTTGATAAATAATAAACATTTTTTCATCTATGAGTCATTTCCATAAACTAATCTATGTACAACTTTTGGCCATCATTTTGAACTTGACAAACTTTGAAACTAGACACAAACTACACATAGTTCAGTGGCTCTGTACCCCTTCTATTATGTTTGAATTTTAAGTTTTTATACATGGGAATAAAACATATACAAGAAGTTTTAGTTTATTTGTAATACTATAACTGACATTTTTGACAAATTTAAAAGGTTTCTTAGCTTCATCTGTTTTGACAACTAATAATCGGTATACTCCTTAGCTATCATTAAATTCTCGTATTTTGCAGGTGTATTGGAAAAATATTAATCACGGATTTAGTGTAAAGAAGTGAATTTTTCATTAAATTACCTCTTCTAAAAAAGTTTTGCCTCCCATTGGCTCAGCAGTAAGTCTGACTTATGAAGCTAAAAATCAGATTTTAATACTTGTGGTGGGCACAGCACACATAGCCTATTGTGTAGCTTTGTGCTTAACAAAACTGTGTAGTTCAGAGGTCTCAAATGAGATTTCCTGTATTGAACCTTGAATACTTTGTACTTGTTAATGTTAAAATGTACTTGTTTGTTTAAAATTTCACCATTTGTAACTAAACTTTATCATTTTAATTAGGTAATCAGAAGTAGCCACAGTATTCTCTGTCCTATTTGTCTGCAGACATTTCCTGGTGAATATTTTCGTAATTTATCCTGTGGTCACTACTTCTGCAAAGAATGTTGGGCTATGCATTTTGAGATTCAGATAATGCAAGGTGTTACTACAGGTAAGCTGATTGTTTTGTATTAGTAATAGATATGTGTTAAAGTCCTCCATAAGTACATTGAGTTGAGATTATAATGTATTTATTGTTTATTATTATTATTACATTTTTTTCTCACAAATATTGAAGTGATGTATAACAAACTTCTCTTGCAATTTAGTGAAACTTCATGATATTTTGAGGAGAGCTTGTGGTCACATTTGTCTAAGTTCAAGTACATTCCGATACAATATCTTACCTCCTCTCACAAAATATTTTTCCTTTATTTTTACTGCCCTCTATATTGTGCAATTTTTTATCGCCCCTAGCCTTGATAGTCCCACCTACCCCCACGTGTTTACCGTGTGGTTCAGCTGCACAGTAGCATGCACATATGCATGTGACAACTCTGCACCAGTAGGAGCTCGACACACCCTCCTAGTGCAGCTGACTCCCTCTATGCAGTAGAACCCAATCTTCATTTCCCGATTTGGCATGACAGTGATTGGATGTCTTGCTTGTTTTTTGGTTTATTTACTTTGTGATTCATCAGTGGTACTGTTATGACTAACTTCCATTTCATCTTCAACAAATTTTTTTGCCTTTGATTTATTATTGTTGTTTGTCTGGTCTAGTAATGGTTTTACATTGATTTCCCTTCATTTCTTTCTGTGGTGTGTACTTACCATTCACATTTGGCACTATGAATTCTCAATTTCAAATCATGACTACTACTGCTTATGAATTTTCTGGTGACCAACCTGTTACAATGGCTTCAGTTTTACCGTTATTGGCTGAGGAAGTTTCAGCCCTAGTCCACCGGGAGATGGCCACCTTCATGCGGGCTGGGGGTATCCTGAACATCAACTAATTCTCCGCTTCCCAGAGGAGATGTAACAGGATGTCAAGGATATGGACGGCTTTTTTCCTCCTCCTTCCTTTGCAGTCTGACCTTGTTCTCAAACTGTGGATGTGCCATCTTGGATTTGATATCACATTTCTATTTTGTTCTTTGTCTCCTGTGTCTTATGACCCATTCCCTTCCCCTTTAATGGAAGCACTTAATGCTGAATATTTTGGCCTCCCTCCGTCTCCCAACATCGGAGTCCGTGCTGAGCATTTTGCCAATTAGTTATGTTATGAAATCAGCATGCTGCATCCCCCACACACGATGAAGGCACGTGCTTTAGCATATCATCATTCTGGGAATCCCTTTCTTGACAATCAGCAGTTGGATTTGCTTCTCCTCCTTTGGGGATTAAATCCTGATACCTCTGTGCACTTTTCTCAGGCACAGTTCTCCTGCCTTTGACTAACCCTGACCACTCTTCTACATTACTTATTTTTCATTCACCTTTTGTCTGAGACTGATAATCCTTCCCCTGAGTTTTTTGGCAGATGCCCATACCCTCCTTCTCTCCACATTGTCACGCCTTTCCTCAGATTTTTTTACTTAGCTCTTTGACAGTGGTCTTTCTGTTTAAACCATTGCTGGTTATAGAGTGACATTATCCTCTATCTTTTATTTTTCCCATTTCTGTTGTGTTTTTACCTGTCATATTATTTTCCTTTTGTTTCTGTTCTCTTGTCTCCATCCTTCTCTTCACCACATGTCCTTACCGGATTGAGATCTTAATGTTGTCTTCCACACCCTATCCCTTCTTTCTTTTGAACCTTCCTGTTCCTTGGATCACCTCTCCTTGTAAACCTATTTTCCCCCTCCTATTAGCCTGTGGATGTCAAAGGTTGTATGTGTTTGCCCTCTCGCATTCTTTATCACAGCATCTATGTTTTCATTTTTTCTGACCGTTCCTTCCTAACTGAGACCTCTGCCACCTGTGAGGGTAATGTTACCTTTACGCTTATTTCCCTGCCCTCTGTTTCTCATATCTATTCCTATTCTGATTGCCTCTTGTGTCTAGTCAGGGCTCTGCTGTGTTATTTGGCTCCTATGGTTCCTTTTGTGGCTCTCGTTCCAGATTGTTTATTCACTGGAATCCATCTATTTCCCAGGACCTTTTCCCATTATCCTCACTAGTTGGATTCAATAACGCATATGTATAGCATTTTCTTTCTTGTCTCCTGACTCCTGTTGCCTTTTTCATGTCTTCTTGTATAGATCAGGCACCTTACAATGTTCTTGGCTGCTCGTTTTTATCATCCTTTGAAAGAGGTCATCCAGGCTGTCATGTGGACCACTCATCATACATTTTTATCCCATCATCTCCATCATCTGGCAGTCTCCTTCTTGGCCGAATGCTGTCTACCTCCTATTGCCATCTTACACTCATCCATTGATCTGTAAATGGGTATTTTTGACTAATATACTTTTTTTTCCAGATGCCTCACTACACATATTTTAGATCTTGCTCTGTGGCAAGTGGTGTCTGTCCAGGTATACTGCTTCCTAAGTCTGCACTGTGTAACCTGTCAGGTCTATAATGCTCACTGTTGAGATGGGGTGTTCTGCAAGACGGCTTGTAGGTTCATCCTCGTGGTGTCTTGCTTGATAAATATGTTTGTCCCTGACTCTCCACTCATGGACTAACATGAGTAAAACAGAAAGGGATTGTTTCCCATTCCTACCAGTCCTTCTATTGTATAAATCAGGAACAATTTACTTTTCAGAATAGGGTTACACAGCCACCCATTGCACTTTCTCTGGTGATGTGTTCCTCTGAACTTTCTGAGTACGGGAGCCCTTATCACCTACCAGCTCCAAGCTGCTGGGGTGGTGGACTATGGAGACTTCTTCCTGAGTGTACTTACTTCTACTCAGTTGAGGGTAGGATGGTGGTGTTCTGCCAGAGTAGATGACATGACTATCCTCCTACCATGGGTCTTGTGATTACTTCCTGATGCCCTTTGGTTTAGACTGGATTTTTCTTTTAGCTCTTGGGTGAGTGGTGTTGGTTCAGTTTGGGACCCTCCTCCTGTTATGGACTGGATGGCATATTTCCAACACTGCATGGTTATAGACTGGAGTTGAACCTCCACATTACATTTCCACCTTCCTACCATTGTCCGGATCTCAGTTCCCAGAGGATACAGGTGCTGGGGTTCTTGAAATGGAAGTTTTTATTACTTTCTTCTTTTATTACTTATAATCCCAGTCCTTCTGGTTTTGGACTGGAGTTGACCTCCCAATTACGGTCCAACTTGTCCTAGCCACTCTACACCAAGGGCATTTCCATTTCTTGGATGTGCCTCTTTTCAACCATTTTTCAAGACACATTTATTCATGGGTGAAGGGTATACTTGGTTCAGATGTGGTGTGGTCTCCTGTGGGTGTGTTTCCTTTGCATAGAGTTGGTGCACTCCATGGGTGCTCTTTAGACACCTTCTGAAGGGGCTTATCTAGGCAATTTTACACCATACCTTCCACCTGACCAATCTGGGTTTCTAGTTGTTGATTATCAAGATACTACAGTTACATTTGTGCTTTATTTGTTGGAGCTAGTCATGTGACAAGTCATGCTATATGAGAATACATAAAGATCAAGAAATGTCATAGGTGGTCATATGTTACAGTTGTATATTAAATACAAAATTATCTCATGATCATTCTTTAAAGTCACAGAAAAGCCAAATTCCTTTCTTTCTTGCTGTACTCTGTCAGGTTGAACAAGTTAGGTCATAATCATCTAAACAGGATAGAAAATGTTAAATATTTTCTTGGACAAGTTGGATAGAAGATAAAAAATAACATATTACATTTTTCTTGTCAAGTTGGGTTGAGTGATATTACAATCTTTAGACTCATAGGTGTAAGTATGTTATATATGTTACGTCAAGAACTTTGTTAGCTAGGCATTATCTACCTTACTGGTAACACTAGCTGGTGCTTATTGATAAAAGATGTGAGTACTGATTTCCGTTATTGTTGTTCACCAGATAAACTTTTAGGGCTTGAAATAAGGTTTTATTTAGTCATTTTATTTGTAGTTGGTGGAACAGATAATAATAATGGTAGAATAGATAATAATAATAATGGTAGAATAGATAATAATAATAATAATGGTGGAATAGATAATAATAATAATAATGGTAGAATAGATAATAATAATAATGGTAGAATAGATAATAATAATAATAATGGTGGAATAGATAATAATAATAATAATGGTGGAATAGATAATAATAATGTTCTTTACTATTCTACTTTCTGTAATGGTCTTGTAGCTGATACATATGTTATGTGCTTGTATGTTAATATGATATTTATGTTGTCAATATTTCTCTCACTCCTTTTCTAGAATAATTGCTTCTCCTTCTCCTCTAAAGATATAAGACTAATCAGGAGAAATTTAACCCTCTCTTCTCCTTTATGGTTTCACTCATAAATTACGAAGTCCCTGTGAGGTCCATTCCAGCATTGTATCTACACGCTGGATCCATAGGATATCTTGGATAAGATTTTTAATTAAGATACAGTTTACCTCGTGGTTCTGTAAGTCAGGAGTTAATATGCAGTACCAGGATGTGTTTCTTGCTATAGAGACAATATACATTGGAAGATCATTTTTAAAGTAGGTATTACCAGAGGTGGAATCTGGGGGGTTGTTCATATACCATGTGTGAACAACCCCCACAGATTTCACTTTAATTTTCGTTTTTTTCATTCAGACGTTTATGCTCAAATGAAGCCCTGGATGATGGGGGAACCTTCTTATTTACTAGTCATAAAGTTGGAAGGGCTGCTTTAAGTAATACTACATGATTATTTTTTAACTGATGTGTTTTCTGTTGTATAAGTTAAATTGAAACTTGCAGCTCAAGTTTGTGCAGGTCAAATAGTAAGCTGTTTACTTTTACCTTGCCATATCCAAGTTGTGATTCCCATTGGATTGAATAGAGAAACCTTGATGCTGCATGCCTACAAAAGGTACCACTTTGGATAACCTATCATAAATATTATGTAGCTATTATCAGTCTTGTCACTTTTGACATCCCCCTGTCACCATCTAGCTTGTTCTTACACCTGTCCATGGGAAGTTGGATTACTGTGATATCCAGCCTTGTTTATCTGTGAATTGGATATTTTGGCTATTCCAGAAAACATCAAGCTCGTGCAGTTTTTAACCCCCCACCTTCAATCTTGTTATAATGTAGATGAGGATTGTTTATAAGAATATTTCAATCTGTCAGGGTTTTTGTTTTGTTTTATAATGAGACACTGAGTTGCTACTATTGTTTTTTTGTTCTAAGTTTACTACTTTCATGGCCAAGGTAATGTTTGCTTTACCTGGCAACACTTGTCAAGTACATGTGTACTTTCCAGTTGCTACTATTGTTTTTTTTTCTAAGTTTACTACTTTCATGGCCAAGGTAATGTTTGCTTTACCTGGCAACACTTGTCAAGTACATGTGTACTTTCTTAAAGACCAATGTTATATTATGTATAATAATATTTTATAATTATATACCCATCAAATATGAAATGTACAGCATGGCAACTGCTATTTGAATTGCATGGGTGCAAAGAACTGAAACAGCTGCTGTATGGTTTGTTTCATTTCATTGCAAAAAAATTACTGGTTGAAGTAGTTTAAAATTTGAGATTAACTTCTTACAGATTTTGTAGGTTCTACAAAAGGTCATTTTTATATGTGATATTTGTATGAATTCTCAGATTTGAAAATTCTAAAATATTTCATTGTGATAAATTCGTTTTTCAAAAACAATTAAAAATGTCTCCCTGTTGTAAATATTAATAACTAATTTTCAGCTCTTCCTACATTCTTATAAAACTGACCAGAAAAGTTTTTATTTTATAAAACTGTAAATTATAACTGTTTTGATTCGAAATATACCTAACTATGTTTACAAACTCTGGTATACAATAAAGATAAATTTTTGGCCGTACCAGTGTATTAAGCAAGCCAATCTTTTTATATTGTCAGAAGGCTTCATTTAACACATGTAATAAATTGTAAATTCATTTTATATATATTTCTTATCAGTACTTTTTTTTTCCCAGTTAAAAATGATACTTAGACCAGTTGAATAAATTCTAATGTAAACATGGTCTAATAAACGACATCCTTATCAATGAAATGATACTTGATACCGTGAAGTGCAAAATGTTCTACCTTATTTTGTTCCACAAAATAACATTTGTTTTTCTATCACACTACAATATCAAAATACACGTAAAGTATAAGTTGATAGAGCTAGTTTTTCACAAGCTTTAAAAAAAATGAGGACTATAACTATGGTAGAAGCTGTTCACAAACATTTTCTTGTTTAGCAACATATTACCAAGCTAAACTAATTCAGGCCCGGCATGGCCAGGTGGTTAGGGGGCTCGACTCGCAAGCTGAGAGTCGCGGGTTCGAATCCCCCGTCCCACCAAACATGCTTGCCCTTTCTGCCGTGGGGGCATCATAATGTGATGGTCAATCCCACTATTCATTGGTAAAAGATTAGCCCAAGAGTTGGCGGTGGGTGGTGATGACTAGTTGCCTTCTTTCTAGTCTTACACTGCTAAATTAGGGACGGCCAGCGCAGATAGCCCTCGTGTAGCTTTGCTCGAAATTCAAAACAAATGTCCTTAATAGAGAGATGTGTTGAAATAATAATCTGCTGACGAGGGTGGGGGGTATGCAATGCGATCGATATTTGGAACGGCTAGTACAGATAGCCCTCGTGTAGCTTTGCATGAAATTTGAAAATAAATCAAACCAAACTAATTCAATGATGCGATTTTGCCCTTGGGTCTGAGTGAACCCAACAGGGTACCATATCATTATGACTATAATGTCAAAATGCCCCCCAGTGGCACAGCAGTATGTCTGCAGATTTACAACACTAGAAACTGGGTTTCAATACTCATGGTGGGCTGAGTGCAGATAGCTCATTGTGTAGCTTTGTGCTTAACTTCAAACAAACAAATAATGTCAAAACGCCCCCAGTGGCACAGCAGTATGTCTGCAGACTTACAACATTTAACTTCAAACAAACAAATAATGTCAAAACACTCCTAAGGACTCTTATTAAAATAATTCATATTTTGTGGAATTTTAAGTAGAATAAATTGAGGATAAGTTATTGTAAAAATTACATACTACATAAATTTTAATATTTTTTCTCTTCCAGTTATTGTTTAGATTTTAAAGTACATTGACAATTTTATGTGCAGCTTTTGAGATACAAAATGTCAAGTACCTTTTGAAAAGGACACTTTTGGGAATATTATAACAGTTAGATGGGCTTGATTATGTTCAGTATGAAGCAGTGAGATTAAGGTAGATAACTTTTTGTTTACAATAACTCTAGGTGTGGAATGCATGGCACAAGGCTGTAATATTCTAGTGCCATATGTTCAGTATGAAGCTGTGAGATTAAGGTAGATAACTTTTTGTTTACAATAACTCTAGGTGTGGAATGCATGGCACAAGGCTGTAATATTCTAGTGCCATATGTT